ACTCCAAGGCAGGGACAGGGCTGCCCCAAGACACCAGCTGCAATGCCCTATTTGGTATAAGCATCAATGAAAGTATACACTGGGCAGCTGGAGGTCTGACCAGACCAGTTCTGCATGAGAAATGCCATCTTGGGGCTGTTGGAGGGGTAGGTGAGTTGTCAAGTCAGGCTTTCAGGCCTGCCAGCCCTCTCCTACCTTGTGATGGGAAGGTCACCTGCTCCATCGTCTTTGGAAGTGTGCATGTCAATGTCCAGGGGCAAGAGGCAGGTAGCCAACATTTTGGTTTCACAAGAACTACTCTCAAGAGTCGGAAGGGACCTGCTGAGCAGCTGGCCATGTACCCAGCCCAGCAAGGGCTTTTTGACAGCTGGTCATCTGGCCTATGCTGAAACAGCCAAAGTCCTTCAGTGTTTCTCAAATTTGGTTCAAATATGCCACCACTCAGTCCTCTGCAAAGAGCTAAAAACCATCTAAGGAAATTGGCTTGGACTCCTGATCAGGGAACCTGGACACCATGGTTCTAATCCGGCTCTGAAGAAAGGCTTCAAGTTGTATCTTATTTGGGATGATTTCTTTAATCTTCATCCTTTCTATAGTTTTGAGGACAAATGGCCATCTGGTCATTCTGTATGTTGTCTGTACAACTCACTAGCATATAGTTCCAATTGTGCTGCTGAACCTTCAAACACATTTGTAGCGCTGTCTTCCAGAACTACCTACATCCTTTAGCAAGCAGGTGACAAGGCTGGGAATCACTTCAAGTTTGGGACTGTACAAAATAAAATAGACTTGCCATTGGTGACAAACTCTTGGTGGCCAGCTGGACCAGATGGGCTAAGGAGCCCATACGGCAGAGGGGAGCAGCCAATGCCAAGTGCAGGACAGTGTTTGGCAAGTGTGTCGTTTCCGGATGCAGATCCACTGGCAAACATGACTCCACAATTCCCTAGGAAAGGTCCACCCAGCCTGTGTTTACCTGAGATCTGCTGGGGCTTCAGCCCTGGAGAGGCAGGGAATCTCAAAGGTCGTGTCTCATACCTTGCAAGGTGGACTGCCTGTTTCCAAGCAGGCGGCCTTGCAGTCCCGTCTTATCCCCAAAACCCCACCCACAAGGCATGGCATAGCCAAGCGGGGACCCAGAGCACAAAGGAAGATGGGACATTTTGTGGGGGGATAAGGTCTGTGTAGTTTAGGCCAGCCTCAAACTTGCTGTGATTCTCCTACCTCAGCCATGGCCTTGCAGTCCCGTCTTATCCCCAAAACCCCACCCACAAGGCATGGCATAGCCAAGTGGGGACCCAGAGCACAAAGGAAGATGGGAATACCCTGCCATCAGGACATTTTGTGGGGGGGATAAGGTCTGTGTAGTTTAGGCCAGCCTCAAACTTGCTGTGATTCTCCTACCTCAGCCTCTCACGTGCTAGGATTAGCAGATCATTGGGACATTTAAAAAGGGCTCCCACTTTGGCTACCTTCGGAGTTCTCTGCTTCCTATAGCCAGTCCTCAGTCAGCAGGACTACAAGGTCCCTCCACTCATCAGTGTCTGTCAGTGGGTGATGCTGAGCGCAGGTCTCATGATCCAGTCATGCTCTTTGCTTTGGGTTTCTAGGATAGTATCAAAGAGCCCGTGACTGACAGGCCACCCTTGTGCCACTGCCCCAGTACCTTTAAGAAAATGGGCTCTGGGCCAGGGATTTAGCTTGGTGGTGTGGCCGCCTGTCTCGCGAGCACAAGGACCTGAGTTTGATTCCGGTACCCAAAAAAAAAAAAAAAAAAAAAAACCCAAAAAAAACCCAAAAAACCAAAAAACCAAAAAAACACCAAAACCCCCAAATAAAATAAAATCAGATAATTGGTATTTTAAAAATAGAAAAAGAAAGCAGGCTCTGAGTAGCCTGATAATTCTGATGCTTTTGCTTTTAAATCCTAGTATATGTGAGAGTGTGAAGGCTTTGTATCTACTCCTAACCTTGTAGCTGGAGTGGTACCAGCAGAGACTAGACACTAAATGGGGGTGCTCCTCTTCCAGCTTCTCCAGCTGCCCAGCCTCACAGCTGCTGCTCCTCCTCCTGGCTGGGGAGTGAAGAGAATTTGGGAATCAAATCAGAAAAGATTTTTAATTCTGAAGAGAAAGCTCTGGACAGATACCCAAGTGACATGTGTGTGACCTCACCAGGAGTAGCAGTGAGAGGCCTGAGTCCAATTGCATGGACAGTACTCGGGCCTACAGGGGCCTCTGGGTAGCATTCAAGCAAAGCAGTCTAGAACAGCTTTTCAAACAAAATCCAGACCTAGAGTTCACAAAAGTAGGGCAGGTGCTGCACCCTAAATCTTTTTTTTTTGGTACCGGGGATCAAACTCGGGACCTTGCATTTGCAAGGCAGGTGGCAGCACCTCTGAGCTAAATCCCTGGCCCTGCATCCTAAATCTTAACTGAAGAAACCAGATTTGATCCCTGATAAGTACTTTGTTGGTTTTACCTCCTTATTCCAACCAATAAAAAACCTGAGCATCCTTGGCTGTTCTTGGGGCCAGTTAAGATTTAGAAAACCTGCTAAGATGTTCATTCTATTTACTGATGAAAAAAACAGCAAGCTGGGGACAGATCCAATGTCCCCCATAAGACACCTTCATTCTCAGAAGATACCTGTGTGTTATGGCCAAATGCTGTCTGGCCACTCACTGACTCCGTGCCTGCTAAAGGCAGGTTGCTCCCAGCTGCTGAGACTCTACACGGCAGGGAGTTGGGGAGGCCCAAATGTACCTGGGGACTAGAAAATAGAGAGTCTTAGGTGTTCCCTGGAAAAGTAACATGATTCTCTAGGCTTTCTCCGAGTCCCTTACCTTAGACAATGGAAATCTAAGTATTTTACAGGTGCCTTAGCTGGATGTAGTGGTATACTTCTGTAATCCCAGCACTGGGGAGAGGTTGAGACAGGATTGCCAAATGTTTGAGACCAGCCTGAACTGAAATAGTTGAGACCCCATCTCAAAAAAATAATAAAGATATCTTGTAATGAGTTGTCCCTCCCCTTTTGAGCAGTACTGAAGATTGAAGCTACAGCCTTCACACTGAGCTACATCCCCAGATGTTCTCCCAACTTTGAAATTCTGAGACAGGATCTCACTAGATCGCAGAATTGCCCAGCCTGGGCTCAAATTTGCAATCTTCCTCAGCATCTCAGAATGCTGGGATTAGGGTTACAGGCATGGACCACCATACCCTGCTCCAAGTTTCTTTGTAAAATTGAAAATCCTCGGTCAAGGTATATTGGTGACTTAAGTTTGAATAGATACACCGGTATGCAAGTACAGTGCCACCTGTGTTGATCCCATTCCTTTATGGAATTGAGAGCTTTTACTTTAGACTATCTGTACACTGAGGGTGGTGATCAGATCCTGGCTTTCACAGGCCCAGCAGGGGCAGAGCCATCAACTCACCCTAATTACCTTCACAGGGTAGGACCCTAGGTTCCCTAAATGGCAGGGATGTGTATGAGGCAGTGCCCAATACTCTGCAATGGTACAGGAAAATCACGTTTGGACAGCCAAGTAAGCAGCTAGAAAAATTCCTGGAAATGAGAAGAAAAATTTGATAGGCTTCTGCAAATGGTTCCCACACTTCAAATAACCTTTTTGATCTAATGGGGAAGGTTTCAGACAACCTAAGGGAGACTGTGTGCTTGATAATGAATTAATTCAGCAGGTATAAGGCTATGAAACCACAAGGTTTGAAGGATTCCTTCAGGTAGGTCCAGGGTTACTACTCAGATGAGACCAGGCCTTGACAAGTAGGGCAAGTCCCGCAGACACATTACAGCACATCAGTGGGACAACTGTAGCCTACGGGACCAAACAGGGCCGATGGGCAATTTCATGGTGATCCATACATTCATGGACTGAGAGATAGAAGAAAATAGAGCAAGATGACAGGGCAAACAGCCAAGCAGTGGCAGAGGGTTCTGCATATCCAAGTGATGATCCACTTAGTAATTGGATGCTAGTCTAGCCAACATGCTCAGAGAGAAAAGACTAACACAAAGGAGTCGCTTTCTCTCTTGGATCAATCCACGTGCTGGAAATCAATTTCTGCACAAGCAAAAATCAAGTGAGGGAGGGGACAAAAATGGGTTCCAAACTAAAGCAGCCAGTCGGGTTGGAAAATTTTGTCCAAAATGATGTGATGTATGGGGAAGATTTATTTATTTCTTTTTATTATCATGGTGTTTTTATTATTAAAGTGGTGGTTTCTTTCCTGTTGTTTCTGAGATCTTAACAGGTTGGAACAGCAGAGTTGAGAAGGGAGTCCTGAGTACTGCCTCTGCCGACCTAAGTCCCCAAGAGGCCAATCAGTGTCACCTGCTGAGGGTGGAAATGGGGCTCAGGGAGCTGTTCAGGGGGAAAAGGGACCTCTTCCTCAGTCTGCTGCCAGCCTCCAGACTTCTGTTGCAGGAGGACTGCATATGGGTGAGCTGCTGCCAGCCTGGCTGGGCCCATTGACAGTCTCCTGACTCACAAAGGCAGGGCGAGCTGGCGGTCTATACAGCAAAGGGCTGGCTTTGCCAGCTTCAATGGGAGAAAAACACCCCAGGAAAGCCATGGAGGAGACATCTCAGGCGGGCTGCCTGTGTGCAGAAAGCATGGCACACTAGTTCCACCAAGGACACAGATGGCAAGTTCCAGGGAGGTTGGCAGTGGCGGTGGCGGTGGCGGGG